TCTCCGACAGCGAGTTTCACCTTAGCCGACTCTGATCACCAGAGACGGACAAGCAATCCCACATTTTGAGGGGCTTGGTGTTGGGTTCCGAGCTCCGGAGTAAGGCTCCCTGCTGACCCCAAAGGCTCCATGTACCCATCTGATTATATACTTAGGCCGTACAGTACCTATACAGGAACCCGTTTAAGTCGTAAGTACATACTATATGGCTAGATGGAGCCTCAGGGGACGGAAAGTGGTGAGTCAGGATTTCGGCGGGTTTAGGATGCCTTATACCTGAGCCCTACACCGGTAACTGCAAGAGGCATGAGCAAGCTCTAACTCCTACCCCTAGGCTCCAAAGTAGTTCCTTTTTTTGGGGCTACCTTATAGGATCCTAAATATGAACCACAAAAACATACATGGAGCCTATGGGCAAGCCTAATTTAAGTCCACACCCCCCGTGCCCAAAGCCCACGCAACCCTAAGTCGGCTTGTCACACGCCTCACACTTCCTGCATATAGATGGTTCTCTAAATTTGGGTCCCCTTTAGGGTCCTTCTTATAAGTGTGCCGTCCTACAGTATATTGGGGCCGCAAAAAGGGACCCTAATTCAGAGAACTATCCATATAGGGCTGCTGGGGAACAGCGTTTCGGGCCTCTTAGACCTTCCCTTCTGGCGGGCTTAAGGTTTACGGTTTAGGGTTTAGGGGTTAGGGCTTAGCGTGTAGGGGTTTAGGGGTTTAGGGTTGAGGGGGGATGCTGGCAAGCTCACACTCCTGAGCTCTCAAAAACAGTCTAGCCTTTGCATGCTGCGTTCTTTTTATGACATACTGTACACATATGTATGGCTATCGCTATTTATCTGCCGACCAATACATATATGTATGTATGCATGCATGCATGTATGGATGTACGGATGCATGGATGCATGGATGTATGGATGTATGGGTGTATGGATGTATGGATGTATGTATGTAGGTATGTAGGTATGTATGTATATGTATGTATAGACATATAGATACACATGTGTGTGGATGCATGCATATATATATACACACATATCTTTACACACCACGGCATGTGTATACATATACTTATGTATGTATGCGTGCACGGACGCACTGCATGCACGTATGCATGTGTGTGTGTGTGGATGTGTATATATATATATATATACACATGTATCTACATATACATATATATATATATATGAAATATACACATATATATATATATGTCTGTGTGTGTGTAGATATACATATGCACATGTTGTATGTGCATACATGCATGCTCCACAGTGGACATGAGATCCGCCATAGCCAGGCATCAGACCCATCGAGCTAAACAATCCTGGAGACCAGTGCTTAAGCTGCTCTGCCAACCCCCTCTCCCCCTCGTCACCCTGCACTCAACCGAAAGAACACATGCGACGCTACAGGGGGGCGCAATGGTATGTAGGCGAATCTAAGTAGTCTCGGAAGGCAACAAACACAAGATCCTGGCGCGGACAACAAACCCTTGACACGTAGTTTCGGTCTTAAGGTCCCGAGGGGTTCCCTTTACGATCGAGTTCCCTTTAAAGGGCTGTACTCCAAGAGCTGCTATAAGGGCCTTACCTATGGTCTCCTTTGTAGTTCCTTTTTTGGTCTAACCAACTATATATTAAGGATCCTATCAGATAACCCTAAAAAGAAACTACAATGGAGACAAAAGGTGGTCTTTGGGGCCTAAGCCTCCACCTTTCTAGCGTTCGGGCGGGGGGGGGGGGCTTTGGCGCTGATTGCCCAAACCCTAAACCCTAAACCCTAGGCCCTAAACCCTAAACCCTAAACACGAACACTTGTAGTGATAACAGGATTTGCACGTGATAAAAAGTACTGACATGATCATAATTCTACTATAATTCGTGTGAGTAATCAGGCTAAATATCATGACGCTCCTTAACAAGCTTCCAGCAGCTGCACACTCATACACACTCACAGATATGTGCCTAAGGAAGAAATAGTACCATCAACACTACAAACACTTATACGCACACACAACCTTATGAGAAGCCTTGTGTGTCCTGTCACACTAATCGAAACCCTTGGGTCTAGATAGCGGAAAACAGCTAAAGCTACAGGCCGCCGACAAGTTGAAATCATAATGCCCGAACCAAAAAGTCAACCGTCACCGCGCCGCTGGAAAACAAATCTTTAAACCCAAAACCTACGTCCTAAACTTTCCTAAACCCGAAACCCCAAATCACCGAAGATGCACTGGACAAAAGGCGAGGAGCGTGGGCTGCGTGCGGGCTCGGCGGAGTTGGGGGAGCCACTGAGAGCCTTTCAGGTGTCGGCTTTCGAGGCTCTGGGCCTGCAGGATTTGTAGAGCATTCTATTTCCTGTTAGGTTTGGTTAACCATACATATACATATATGTATATATATATATACATGTATATACATATATATATATATGTATACATATATATATATAAATATCTATATAATTGTTTTGGTTTGGGGATTTTGTGCTTTTAGGTTTATAGTAGGGTTTGTAGGGCTACTCTAGGTCTTTTGGGGTTTGGGGATGTAGGCTTCCGGGTTTAGGGTTTAGGGCTTGGGGATTTAGGGTTTGGGGATTTAGGGTTTAGGGTTTGGAAGTTTAGACTATTTCTTTTAGTTTTTGGGGCTTAGGCTTTCTGATGTTGGTGGAGAGAAGGGGTCTAAGGATTTAGTGAAGGGTCCAAGGACTTGTGCGTACCCTAGAAGAACGGTCATCTGTCTGCTAAGAGTCGATACGGTGAGTGGGCGTGTAGCCCCAAAAGGGTCCAAGGTACTGGGTATGGGGGATACTTTCCCAAATCATAATAGCGAGTCCCAAAATAGAAACCCTACTTTCTACGGTGTATGGATACTTAGGAATTTTCAGGTACTACGAGGCTCTTTTCCCTGAGAGTTGATTCTCTGGGGCTCTTGATTTTTCTTTGGGTTTAGGGTTTAGGGTTTAAAGTTTAGGGTTTGGGTTTAGGGTTTAGGGTTTAGGGTTTGGGTTTGGGGTTTAGGGTTCAGGGTTATTGCTGCAGGTCCTGGGTGGCAAGGGGTATCTTGGTGGTACGGTCTAGTGGCACCCAATAGCAATGCCCGATATCCTGCAGTACCGTGCAGCACAGTACTGCCCGAAATGGTACCTTAAAGTAATACTCTCCGTACTCTTTCAGACCATGGCAAAGCAGCTGCTGCGGCCGATTGCACATGCCGGATGGAATCCCATGAGGAAATTACCCATAGGCCCCATGGTAGTTCCGTTTTGTGATTCATCTTTAGGATTCCAAAAAGGTAATCCCAACAAGGAACCACAATGGAGCCTATGGGTACAGCCATGCCAGTGAATCGCTGCAGTCAAAACCGGCCTCAGCCAGGACAGCGCAGCACATGCCCACAACTATCCCCGAACCCTGCATCCCAGGGCGACAACCCTATGCCCCCAAACCCTAAACCACAATAAACCCTAAACCCTAAACCACAACAACGAGAACAAAGGCATCCCCAAGATCGTGCCCCACCTCTGGCGAACTGTGGTGCGCTTCGGCTCGCCTGATGGCATGTTGTGCTCAAAGTTCTGCAGTTCCGGATATAATGTAGAGGCTTGAAGGTTTTAGGGTTCAGGATTCAGGATTTAGGGTTTAGGGGCCTTACTTAGAATCGGAGTTTGGGCGTCCTTTATGGCATAATACGTAGTAGCTGATGCAAAGGCTCGGCGACATCTGAGGCCTGGACTCATTGCACGCCAATCTCCGGATGCAGGCAAGCGTGGCAAACAGTTCAGAGACGAATGAAATCTATCAGTGCGACTCTTTATGAAACCGTGTATGATGAAGCACTTTAAGCCGTAGACACCCTTGCGCGATTCTGCCATCCCTCCTTGCTCTTCAGGTAATTGTTCAAGAGCCGATAACTGCAGCATCACATGTCAAAGACAACAGCTGCCCAAAGCCCTAAACCGTAAACCCCAAACCCTGCCCGAACGACCCCAGCAGACTCCGAATACACCCGTCCGAACCGCTTTGAGTGCTAATGCACGCAACCTTTAGAGATTGGCGGGACGAACTTATAGCCTAAGCCATACATATAATTTACTGGTATGGGGGATATTTTTCCCAAATCATAATAATTAACTACTTCTAACATAGAAGCCTTACATACATTCTACTAAATAGGTAACTACTTAGGACCCTTCAGTTTATGTGCCCTTGTAGTCCAGTTGAACGATGAAGGCCCCTGAACTCATCTTCCTTAACCCCTAAACCCTAAACCCTAAGCCCTAAACCCTAAACCCTAAGCCCTGAAACGGAGCGCTCTTTCTGGCCGCAGCTTCACGAGCATCCGCCTTTAAGGCGGCTGGAAACGGAGAGCTGTGCATGGAAGTCAGGGCTTGGGACTCTGCGGAGGACATACGGGTTGGGGTTTAGGGTTTAGGGTTTTTGCAGTTTTGTCGATGGGGATCAAGGAATCAAAACGACTACAAGCAACTTCATGAGATCATTGAACAGCATGCCAGGGCCTTTCTACAACTATAAGGAACGGAAGCTGAATGATGAATGTCGTACATCTGGCCCCGCGAAGCCCGAAAGGCCAGCTTTGACATTCGTGGTCAAAGGATCCCTACACCCTAACACTAAACCCAGGCAGCCCAGAAACCCTAACTGAGCCTTACCATCCTAAACCCGGAAACCCTCAACCCCGTATAACCTCGACACGGCGGTTCACGGCCCTCTCTGCCCGGGAAAGCAGGTGAAGCGCCTGATCTCGGTTTAGGGTTTAGGGTCTAGGGTTTCTCGGCCTCTCATTTTGGGAGAGGGGTCCTGTAGACATAGGGAACTCACTAGTGTTCGGGAGCATGGAAGTATAAACTTGCTTTCAAACCGACGCGCGCAGCGGCGTAGCGACATGTAGCGGGCGCTTTTGACATCAAGCTTCGTCGCTTCCTTGGTCGTGCAACCAGCTCCCAACCTACTCAAGGAGGTCCACAGAAACCTAACAATCCGACTCCGTGATGTTCACACTGATGGCCTGGAGGTTCGGTGACTGTGCGAAACGGTCGAAACCCCATGAATCTCCATACCCTTCAATTGTCTTCGTAACGGACTCCGCGGTGGCAGTCCCCGCTAGGATTTTCTTCGTAACGAAGTCCGTGGTGAGAGTCCCCGATACGCGGCATTTCCTGTCGTGCTTCAAGTAGACCGATGCCCACCCATCGTTGTTGGTACCACGCACCCCTTTCGGAAAGTACGTAAACCAAAAGCCACTGTCGAGCAAAAGACCGAACTGGGGACTCTCCACGAAGTCGTTATATTGAATCCTGCGTTGGCCCCGCAAGGCCTCTGAAAGATATTCGTAACTAAGATCTTCTTAAGCCCCAAGAATGGAAAATTTAAAAGTGTCCCAAAAGCCTGCCTAGAATCGCTGAGAAGTCTTGACCCGAGATGTTCCAGAGAAAAGTGCTGGGCTGTCTCAGCCGGTCGATGATCGAAGCCTGGTGCTTGACTAAGGGTTCCTTTGAGGGCTCTGTAGTCACAAGGCGGTTTAGAGTCAGAGAACTTGAGAGTTCAGCGGCTCTTCCCCAGGCGGTTTAGGGTTAGGGAATTTAGAATTTGGGTTTCAAGGCTATAGAGAGCCTGCTGCTTGATGGTCGAAGCCTGTTCCTCGATGGTCGATTCCTTTCGCTTGATGGTCTCGAGGTGAAAATTGGTGGCAGAGACAACCAGTTCACCTGCTGGCCTTACTCTCAGGGGCTGAGCACCCTTACCCAAAAAAGGCGTAACCTCTGAAGCTATAGTAGCATCATCTAAAGCCACAAAAGGGTTAAGGTTGCCTACTCAGCCCCGAAGCACTTCTTTCAGTTTCCCGGGGGAACGGAAGGTTCAACTTCGAGACCTCATAGTCAGAGTGATTAAAATTCCCTGAAGACTATATATGGTAAGCTCCAGAACCTTGGAAACCGGATTAAGGGCAAATAGTGATGGGATCCCCTATACATTACTTCTGGGCCTCTACTGCACTGAAAACGGTACAACAAAAAGTCAAAGGTGATCTACACTACTGCCCAGACAGTGATTAAGATCCACTTAGGCCCAATCAGAACAGATACCAAAGAACCCACTTAGGTAATACCCCTAAACCAAAACCATAAACCCTAAAATGCTAAGTGGCTGCTTCAACAGCTCGATGGTTTCGGCCCTTCGCTGATCGAGGCTCTTCTTCGCTTGCGCAACGTACTGGTCAAATGCGGCGATCGCCTGCAATTCCGAAGAACCCTGAAACCTAAACCCTATACTTCAACCCCAAAACTCCCTAAGCCCTAAACCCTAAAACCCTAAACCCTATATAATTTAACCCTAAACCCTAAGTCGCCTAAGTTAGGGGGCTTTCGGACTTGAGCACTTGAAGGTTTAGGGGATAGGGACCCAAAAGCAGGTACTGCAAACCCTAAACCTGGGAAACCCCATAATCCAACCCTGACCCTAAACCCTGTGAAAGAGCCCTTTAGGGTTTAGGGTTTAGGGTTTTCCTAGACCCTGGAGTCCACTACGCAGGTGACCTCGTTCGATGGCCGGCTCGTCTGTGCTGCTCTGACTGACATTCTCGCTAAGACTGGCGGCCTTCCCATTTGAGGCCAAGGGGGACGGTAATTTAGGGTTTAGAGTTTAGGTGTAAGGTGTGGTTTTCTCCCCTGAACTCTCCCAAGCCAGAACATGGACTCTCTCAGGTTCGTCGTCTTTCAACCTGGGCTATACTCGCCTTGCAAGCATCTTGATTTCGTTGGGGTGAGGGATCAAGAAAACTAAATAATGATCAAAACAAATTAAGCCTCAGGATGAAACAAAAATAAGGATCAACAAGTATACACATTACAATCCCATTTAAATTCCTACGCAAAACCGACTAATACCTGACGAAATAAGGATCAAAAACAATTAAATCAGAATTGGTGCTACATTTCTAGAATCCTAGGCAAAACCCAATAATACCTCACGAAACGAGGATCAAGAAAACAACAAATCCAAAATTGGTGCTACATTTCAGCAAAGTCCTGTTCAACTTGTGACAACATGAAACCCAGACAAAAGGAGTCGTAGTAATAGTAGCAATACTTGTAGTACCAATAGTCGTCGTCGTCGTCGTCGTAGTGGTAGTCGTAGTCGTAGTCGTCGTCGTAGTAGTAGTAGTAGTAGTGGTAGTGGTAGTAGGAGTAGGAGTAGGAGTAGGAGTAGGAGTAGTAGGTAGTGGTAGTAGTAGTAGTAGTAGTAGTAGTAGTGGTGGTCGTCGTCGTCGTCGTAGTAGTAGTAGTAGTAGTAGTTGTAGTAGTAATAGTAGTAGTAGTCGTCGTCGTCGTCGTGGTGGTAGTAGTAGTAGTAGTAGTAGTAGTAGTGGTAGTAGAAATAGCACTAGTAGTAGTAACAGTAGTGCTACCGCCATGGCTATCGCCTCTGCCACTACCACTACCACTACCACTACCACTACTGCCTTGACGGTAGGTCCTTATACAAAGGACGGCCATGGACCCGATTCCTCGGGAAATTTGCGGTGGCTCCACGCAGAGCGGAGCCATGCAGAATGAATCAATGGCAGCGAGACTACTTGCTGGGAAGCTGATACTGTAGAACCCTTTAGGGTTAAGGGTTTCGGTCTAGGGTTTAGGGCCCTTCTCCCCAAAACCGAACCCGAAACCTTTCGCCAAATCCTGATACATAAGCCGCCCTTCTCTGGATCAAAACATGAACTGGTGTTTCGAGTTTGCTAGCAGGATTTAATTCCTTCTTGGGATTACCTTATAGGATTCTTGGAATGTCGGGGTTCCTTCAGGGTTTACTGTCTTGTCTGCGACTGTGGAAAAAATCAACGATTTGGGTGACATGTTAGGGACATCCCACCCTACTGTCTGTGAAGCCTGGCACCACTGCCAAGTCCCAGAACTCGATTTAGAAAGCAGCCCATCATGTGCAATACATTGAATTGAACCCCAAACGAGGGTTCCGAGGTCTAAGCGACCCCCGTGAGATGCGGGAGTCTTCGCGTTTTCTGCAAAACATACGATGCATCCGAAGCCCGAACACAGCTAAAAGGGTTCCCGAGCATTATGGTACAGGACATCAAGGGCATGGGCGGATGGCACGCAGTTCGTTGCAGAACGATAAATGTTGGGCGCAGCTGCTTTTTCAGCCAAAGCCGTACCGAACACGGTACCATTAAGCTCGCCCATTCCGACTTGTAACTAGTTGCAAAGGCCCCACACCCCCTTATACACTTTAATTAAACCAAACCTTGATATCCTAAAGCCAACTATCCAACAACAGGTAACACCACCCCAAACATCCCTAAACTATACAACTAACTCATAAACCCTTCATCCCTCTGCAAAAAGACGACCACCTCTAATCCCAAAGCCCGAACACCGAAAACCCTATTACACTTAGGGCCGCTAAACTCCCAAACAGTTTAGGAGATGTCCAAAACGGAGATGTCAGCTTTCTCACAGCTTATTTTCGTGATATATATATATATGTATATAGCAGCCTTCATAATCAGATACTTAAAACTAACAAGGATCCCCGCCCACAATTTCAATCGCGTTTGTGAATATTTAAGTCCCCTAAACCCTAAAAACTCAACCCCCCACCTCCCCTTTATTACAGGCATGCTCCAGTTCTCTTACCCACCACCAGGAGTCCCCCCGCCACTCGCTTCACTCAAAAAACATTTAACTTCAAGCCTACCGGTAGAGGTTTGGGGATCAGAGATTAGAAGTTACCTTAACCCCTACGAACCTACCTTTAAGGACTTAATATAAGGAAATCATAAGAAGGAACCCTAAAGAAGGCAGGTTCTTTGGTGTCCAGGTAGGGGTTGCGGGCCGAAGTTGACGGTTTATCCTTCACTGCGAGCTTCGGCCGCTCCAGCAGTGGATCACTCAAGGTGATCTATGTAACCCGAAACCCTAAACCCGTGAATCTATGCACATTTAGATCTTCAAACTCTGAACGCGGCTGCTCTCAGGCCCTACTTGCAGGTTCATGGGTAGTTACAAGTAGAGTTACAGTTCCCCTCATAGGGGTTATAAGTGTAGTTACCCTGCTTGTAACCCCACTTATAGCTACCCATCAACCTCCAAGTAAGCTGCCCTACCTATAGTCTCCATTGTAGTTCCTTTTTGGGGTTACCTTTTAGGATCCTAATTATAAACCCCCAGGTACACCTCAGCGTCAGCGCACCTTTGCTGCTGCTGGCGCCAGGATCTCGGGTAGAGTCAAGCGGCGTCCTGAACATGGAGGGTTTAGGGTTTATAGGGGTTTAGGGGTTTATAGGGTTTAGGGGGTTTATAGGGTTTATAGGGTTTATAGGGGTTATAGGGGTTTAGGGGGCTTATAGGGTTTATAGGGTTTTTAGGGTTTAGGGTTTAGAGGGGTTATGGGGATTAGGGTTTATAGGGTTTTAGGGGTTTAGGGGTTAGGGTGCAGGGGTTTATAGGGTTTAGGGGTTTAGGGTGCAGGGGTTTATAGGGTTTAGGGTTTTGGGTTTGAGATTTGCCGTTTGCAGGAACCCTGAAGATTTGAAGGCGCAAGGCCTGATAGGTAAGAGTCTTTTTTTGATGCTGCCATTGCTGCTCTTTTTCTGTTCCTGCCGGGATCTATTGGCTATTGCTGTCGGGGGTTGTTTTGGTTGCGCTGTTGCTGCGTTTTGGGTTTTTACCGTAAACCCTCAAACCTGTTGGAGGTGGATGTTCCCGCGCAAACACAAGTAGCAACAGCAAAAGAAATAAGACAGCAATTCCAGCCCCGATAACATCACTTGCTACGGTTGTCGGTAGTGCTTTGAGCCTCAATGTTATGAGGTATTCAAACGTTGAATCGGTTCATGCTTTCTTACATCCTGCCATGTGACATCGCGTGATAGCTAGGCTATCAGAAACGGCATATTGCGGAACAAGGTATCTTCCTTGATCCTACATCGTGAACCCAATTTTAGTTTCGGGGTATACCTTAACCCCGGAGAACCTACCTTTTTAGGGTTCCTTATTATGATGTCCTTATATAGGTCCTTAAAAAGCGTAGGTTCTTTGGGGTCCAGGTAGGGTTTAGGTTTCAGGGTTTCGGATGGTTTAGCGGGTTAACGTGGACTTCTGCATCATGCTAAAGGAGGCTGCTCGGGTTTGGGGTTTAGGGTTTAGGGCTTAGGGTCTAGGGTTTAGGGCTTAGGATTTTTAGGGCTTAGGGCTGCTTTGAAATGGGATGTTGCAATGCTCTGCTGCGCCTGTGACATAAGCCCCAAGCACTACAGAAGAGGAGATGAGCCCCTCTCTACACTGAACCCCTGAACCCTAACCCACTAAGCCCTAAGTTTAAACGAACCCTTAAAACAAGCCTTTGAAGGAACCCCTTACAAGAAACCCCCTGAAAGGAACCCTAATCCCTAAACCCTAAACCCTAAACTAAACCCTAAACCCTAAACCCCTTTAAGGAATCCCTGAATCCCTGCCTTTCGAGGCCATCTTCCCGCATAGAAGCGTGGGCCGGCAAAGCTCTGCCTTCGGCAGTTCCGACCTCCAAGCAGGGCGGTTCCCTTAAAGGGTGCCCTAAAAAGGGTTCCTTAAAAGGGGCCCTTCCTCAAGAGGGTTCCTCAAAAGGGTTCGATTTGAGGAATATGTTCGTTATTTTAGGGTTTGGGGCCTAGGGATTTTCGGGTTCTGGGCTTTGGTGTTTAGGGACTGTCTTTGTCCCTGGTGCAGGGTTAGAGACGTGTGTGTGTGTGTGTGTGGTGTTTTTGTTGGAGGGGGGGTGTTTCATGGTTTGCAAGTTTGCTTTCTGTCTGTGCGAGGGTTTAGACTTTTGTCTCGCCTTTGGGAAGGCTTTTGACTTGTAGGGTGTGGCTCTTTTGTCGGTGTTCTTGCTGGCTTAGAACTCTGGTATTTGTTTTTTGCTTTCTGAGCGTCTTGAGTTGGGCTTGTCGTGTTTTTATTTGTGCCTTTGTCTTCTCGGAAATGATGAGATCTTTGCTGATTTGCTGCTATTGATTTGGTCACGTACGCACTCGAAGTCAGAGGCGGCGGTGCTTGCCAAACCCCTGCAAATATCTAGAATGTAGACAAACCCTGAAACCTAAACCGTTTCATTGCTTCCTGTACAGTACCTTCAGTACAAAGCCCTGAACTCACAAGCGGTGTACCTCGGAGCAGAAAGCATCTAATCATACACTCTCCAAAAGACGAACTTACCAACAATTCTGCACTAGCCCAAGCGCC